CCTCATCTTTGTTATTATCATGGTGTTTCAGACATTACGCCCTCCAGCTTTTTTTCAGTTGTCTGTCGATCCAGATAACTGAACCGTTTATTTAATCTACAGCTGTAGATTGTTCTCGTTCCATGTCTAGGAATATCTTGTTCTTATTTAGTACTGATCAGTTATTGCTTGACCTGTTTCTAATGAGTCTGTCTTTACTATTCATGGGACAATAGCCTAGAAGAAGTGTGTGTGTGTTTTTTTATCTTTATTTTCTTTGGTGAATTTAGTCCAATAGCAATTAGTAGTTCAATCCCTGAACCAAATAGTATAAACTTAGATTCAGTGGAAACAAGACGAGGAATAACTGATGAGAACAAAATGAGATATCCCTAAACATGAACAACAGATTAAGAATAATCTTCCAAAAGGTTGGTTACCTGGGGCAACACTTGAAAAAGGTTGAAGGGTAGAATGTAGATGTCTACAGGTATCTTGTTCTTACTTGGAACTACTATAACCTCTTCCTTTTATTTATATATATATATATCGAGAGAGAGCATGTCTTTATTTAAACATGTTTCATTGAATAATATAAACATATTGTATCTACTTAAGGAAGGGACGACAGTTGTTTTTTTTTTTTTTTTGTTTTTTTTTTTAATGAAACTACTTTCGATCTTTTCTAAGATCATCTTCAGGGATAAATGACAAAGACAAACTTATTGTAGCTGCAATAAAATCTGTATTCCATTGTGACAGTTATTTTTAAAAACCAGAGTGAATGCACTCTTTTATGGCTGTTTTAGAATTTTAAGTTTATCTGTTGTAGTTACGAAATGTTTTGCAAAACAATCATTTCAATATAAGGGTGCTGACTGGAAAAATGTTATATGCAGTTTAATATTTTGCTGCTGTATTAGTAATAAATTTTGTTGAGTGTGGGTTGGTTGATTGATGTAAATATTTCTAGTTGAAATAATTCACATTATAATGCTGCACTACAGTTATACATGTAATAAAACTACCTTTACTTATTGATTTCACAATTAAAATACAATACTCAAGAGATGATTACACAACAATTTGCCAAAGTTCAACTGAGTAACATGCTTAAGTAACATAAACAAATCTTTCATTCCTGATTTATAGAGTTATGGCTGTGTTCAAACCAATTGTTATTTCTCATAATAATGTTAAATATCAAGATTTAAGTTATTATACAATCTATATTTCTAATTAAAATTGTGGTGTTAAATAACAACATTTAGTATAACATTCAAACTTTATTTCTCAATAACATACATTTTATAGTATTTTTGGGTACTTAAACATTTCGTTGAATGGACATTTGGCCAACGAACATTTAACTGAATGGATATTTAGCTGAAAATGTATGTGACATTCCTTATCATAAAGTGTTACATATATTTATTTACTGTATTTATAATTTTTCATTTTTTGACAGGCTTTTTTTAAAAGCTATTATGTATATATTATATTTTACTTCAAATATTATATAAGTATTTTCAGAAAAGGCACATTTTACTACAGCAAAAATCTTAATCTTTTAATGATCATTATCTTAAAGGGATGAACTAGCTTTTATCTTACTGCTAAATATGAATTTAAATAATTAGGTGCTACTTTTTACCCAAATACACTCAAATATTTTTAAAAATACTATTCCAATAAACAAATAGAAATAAAAAATAAATTCAGTGGTAATTATTAGTCCTATTCTACCTTATAATACTGCTAATTAAAATACTTAAAGTATTGCTTCTTACTATTTCTACTTGTACTTTTTTGGTGAAATGTCTGTCAGACATTTGGCAGAATGGACATTTGACTGTCAGCTAAATATCTGGTTATGATTTTTTTGTGGTGTTAAGCAACAAAAAACATTTAAGATGGCATAAAACTATTATTTCTCATTACAAAATAAAAATCATAAGACATTCACATACATAATTAAAACCCTTCAAAATTACTATAATCATCACTTATCTGATGCAAAGAGCTCATCATAAACATTGTCGTTTAAAGTTTCATCATATAAATCCCAATTAGTTGTCTTATACTACAGATAAAATCATGAAAATTTATCAGATTTTGGGTTTCATCTTATCTATAGGTTGCCTTATATGTGGAAATATATAGTATACATGCATAGATACATGTACACAGGAAAATCAACATATTGCAAGGGCAATAAGCAAGATGCCCACTATATATTGACAATTTAGGAAGTGGACTTTTGCCACCAGTTCTTTCCCTTGATGATGAGTCCAAACAAAATCAACTACAGTTCCAGAGATAATAAACATAATACCCTGTGTTAAATAGGCAACTCAAAGTTTCATGCTATTTGAAATATTCAAAGTTTAAATTTATATATATATATATATATATAAATGAGGGTAAGTCAAAAATTATGTGCACTTTCATCATAACATATCTTTGTATAATAGTGTAGATAATATTATATTAATAATCATAATAATTATTATATATATATATATATATTTGAAAACGCAGGAAAACATTCATGTTTAAAAATTCTTTTCAAGGAACACTTTGTCAGAAGAATATGTTGGTAAATATTAATTTAACAGAATAACAATTTGCACTGCAAGAAAAAAAGAAAAGAAAAATATATATATATCACAGCTGTTTGAGGTTTCCTACAGACCCACTGAACTTAAATAAAGTCATTTCAGGTTTCCTATGGTAAAAATTTTCTTTCCCAACTGAAAATCATCACAAAAATAGCAAAAAGTCATTTTGTCACAGCTTATTTTCTCTCAAAATATGGGTTTTCATACTTTTATAGGGTAAAATATTGAAAATGACTGTTTTATCATCACCTAAACTAATATCAAGGAAACTTTTGATCTGAACCCCATGAAATATTTTTGAAAGCAAAAGTTATATTCTTTCATTTAAAAGTAAAATTAGCTGGTGTAAATGACTCAAAAATTTTTTCAGTGGGTAAAATGTGAAAAAATAGTGAAAATTTTGCATTTTTTTTCTTGTTCTAAACAAATATTTCCCCCCCCATTAATGGGAAATTAACTATTTTTTTTTTTTTTTGAAAATCAGAAAGCCTAGATCATAATCAAACTATTTCAGGCATAAAATTGAGAGTTTTGAAGGAAATCAACATTCCTAGGGGTTCAAAAAAATGCAACAAAATCCATTGTTAATTTTCAATTATGACTGCCAAGGGTTAAAAAAAAATTGACACCTGGCCACGGAAATCTTTAGTAAAAGGCAAGAGATTTATCTGCAATTCCTAACCACCAGAAACCAAAAAGTTTTTTTTTTTTTCCTAAAAATAGCGATAAGGGAAAATAAACCCTAATTGACTTTGACGTCTAGGTCAAAGTCCAGCCAGCAATAAATTCCCAGATAAAAGCAAAGAGTGAATAAAAAAGGTTCACAATTACTAGGGCTTCATATAACCTATGTTTGAACAATGGCTTGATAAGTTTTGAAAAGGGTGATGAAAACAAATATATCTTTTATATCCATTTAGCCTTTCTTTTTATTCAATGATGTTCATGCCAAATGAAAGAGAATATGAATGATGTTATTTTGAAGCGAAAATGAATATTTTTTCATTAAAAAGGGATTTTTTTCTCAGAAAATTTGCATAATTTCTTAATGCTAACCGCCGAGTGACATTTTCCACAGCCAAATCGAAGATTAATTACCAGTGAATAATTCCATGTGCAAAAATATGTCTGGATCCTATAAGGTCGCCCTAAAAGGTCCAGAAGTTTACTAATTGATCGAAAACCTGTTCATAATTGTATTTTTCATGGTCAATTTCATCTTGATATTATCATTTTAAAGTCATCAAGGATTCAGGAAAACACTTTGACATAGGTTTTCTTTAAGAACTTTACATTCTATGAGGTGTTTAAAATGTTACTGACGAATGAGATTTTTTGCCACATATTTCGTTTTACAGCGCCATGTTGGATTTTCTATATGACAAAAAAACAAGGGGGGATATATATATATATATATATAATAATTTACATAAGTGTTCTCATGTTTCAAAAAAAGCCGAAAACTTCAATATAATTAAATTAAAGTACCAAGCTCTGTTCCATCTTCAAGCAAAAAAAAAAAAAATTAAAAAGTTTAAATGCCCTAAAAAAAAAAAAAAAAAAAATCCCCTCACGAAGTCATCAAAAAACTAATGTTAGTGAATTATGACAGTTTTTTTTTATATACACAAAACCCTTTCAGGAAAAAAATAAAAAAATAAATAAATCCCCATAGACACTTAACCAAACTAGATGATGTCATCTTCCGCTTTGAATTTAGACACCCCAACCTTACACTGACCTGACCTTTTTGAATGTAACTGAGATATTGATATAAATTATTATACCTTACGCCCCCGTTTTTTTTAAATAATTGCTCTAGCCGTTAACATAGTAATTTTAATAATGAATATGCTTATAAAACGCCTAAATTTCAGGAATTAGTTATTCAAAAAAAGATTTTGCTTGAAATGAAACAAAGCTTGGTACTTTAATTCAATTTAATTCAAATAATTATATTGAAGTTTTCGGCTCTTGTTTTGAAACATGAGAACTCTTATGTAGCGTTGGAATCATATTTTTAAATAAATAATTATATTTAGGCTCTACTTTTGTATCAAGCACTGTTTTTTAAAAATAACAAAAATACTAAAGAACTTTGGATTATTTACCTAACGAGTTCTTTCCTATTTTCTATATATTTTTACACACACACATTATTTTATATATATATATATATATATATATATATATATATATATAAAATGGTTCCTTTTCTTTTTTCCTCTTCCTTATATTTTTCTTTTTTAGATATATATTATATGCACACAAATAAAGAAATTAACAAATAGAAATTTTAAATATTCTAAACCAATCATATTATCATCTCCAACCACCTACCATGAAATTATGTCACAATACGATTTTATTTTTTATCTTTTACATGCCCAGTAAAACTGTTTAATTACTTGACATTTTTTTGTCAAAGAAACCATGAAATGAGGTTGGAATGACAGTAGAAACTGGTACATCACATCTGGCCATTTCCTGCATTGTTTGGGCATTAAGAATGGTCAAATAGCAGGGAGACTGTCGGTCTGTACTGATCACTGGCACAAGTAAAACCCCTGCAAATAAGAAGCAAGTGAATTAATTTTTAACTGGAACAAATTGTTGCTGTATCTTTGGGATTTTTTTCTTTCTTTCAGGATCACCTTTACCCCAGATTTTGTATTTATTTGAATGGCAAATTCCTGTTTGTAAAACGGAAATAATACAGCAATCATTTCATGATACAAAATAACTGCTCTTCAGTCAGTATGAAAAAGATAAAACCCAGTTGACATTATTTACTTGCAGATTATTGACCTCATTTTTGCTGTTCTTATCACAATTCACTCCTTGAGTCCACTGGCCTCCATCTATATAAAATGCGAATGTCAGTGTTTCACTGTGTCACAATTTTCAACTTTACTCCTGGAGACTGTATTCCAACATATACCATTTTGGAATCAAGCCAACTCCATGAGCAAATCAAAAACATTCCAGGCTGGATCCAAACCCACAATCCTGAAATTTTGGATTCTCAAATTTTCATTACTGTGATTGTTTCCAGCAATATTTTTAAGGGATTTTTTTACAAGAAATTTTTTTGTATGATGATTTTCATTAATCAAAAATAAATTTGGGAATAATGGAAATTAATTGCAAAATCCAGCAAAAGTTATCCATGACTTAAAAATAATTGTTTATATGGAAAGTAAAGACCTACATACATCAAATTGTCTTTAAATTAAGTGACTGCAGAAGAATTATTGTTGAACTTTTAAAAAGGTGATGAAGGCCTAATCAAGAGGCCTCTGTAGGGGATAACTTAAATGCCACCCAATAGGGCGGCTTTTAAACTAGTTAAAAATATTTTATACTGTCTACAGTAGCACTTATACAAATTTATTATAATATAAAAAACATCCTTGAAAATGGTAAACAGATTTGGCCAAAAGCACTTGAGATCAAGAGAATTTTGAACAATTTTTACATTCATTAAGTCTAGAAAAGAAAACATTTGTACACATACAAGAAAAACATAATAAAAATCTAAAGTACCTGTTTAATGAAACACACATATATATATATATGCCTATGTAACTTTTCTGGCATTGCAGACATTTTATATCCTAAATCCCAGCATCTGTGTTGGATGTTGGATCTATTTTCCTTGCTAACTATATCTCCGATCATCTTAAAGGTGCTGGTAATGATCTTAGTGTTGGGGATAAGTAGTTTGTCTTTAAATTTTGTTCATAGGGTAGGATTATGAATTTTGGGGTTTTTGTTGTCAAAGGTGTCTTTATTGTTGGTGGTCCCTATAAGCAGTGTTCTTGATATTTTGTTCCTAGTAGTTTTAAAGTCTGGCCCATTTATAAACATCATACCTAAAAACTTCACTTACTCCGGATGCACAGATAACACTCTTCTAATATATCCTCACAATGAAAATCTGCTAAGCATCACAGAGAGACTTAATAACGTAGAACCAACCATCAAATTTACACATGAGCATGAAATAAACAAAATCCTACCTTTTCTTGACATTCTATTAATACGAAACTAGGACAAGATAGATTTTAAAGTTTCTTGCAAACATGCAAAAATAACTTAATTAATTTCTATTCCCACTACAGCCAAAAAATAAAATCAGGATTAATAATAGGTTTTCCCATCAGAGGCCTTAGAATATGTTGCCCCGAATACCTAGATGAAAAAGAAAAATACATTGAAAAAACGTTTAGACTTATTCACTACCCACATCATAAGCAAAACAACTTACCATCATCTACTACCCATCATAAAGAAACTTGATGATGTAGAATCGACTATTGAATTCACACATGTGCATGAAATAAACAAAACTATCTTTTCTCAACATCCTATTAATACAAAACAAAAACAAATGAAGTTTACTACAAAGAAAAATTATTTAATCAATTTCTACTCCCATTACAGCCAAAAAATAAAATCTGGATGAATCAAAGGTTTTTATCTTAAGAGTCTTTAGAATATGTAGCCCTGAATACGTAGATGAAGAAGAGAAATACATTGAAAAAGTGTTTAGACTTCTTAACAACCCACATCATTTCATCCTTAATGTGAGAAAATGAGCATACAAAGTCCACAAGTACAAAAACATAGGCACTGCCACAGACAAAAATACAACTTATATGTCCTGTCAATTGTATTGAAGCATGAAACAGACTGTCACCTCTAGGTGATTGATTCCTGTCGGAGGTTGCATATTTTCTATGAAGATTTCTCGGACATTCAGGCTGGTAAATTTTGTTAATACTGTTTATTATAAACAGAGCATTTACTTAAATATTTGTATCTATAAAAAGAATGTATAAACATAAAAAAAATGTCTTAAATAATTGTTGAACTTTGTCCATTTCATAATGTATATTTTAGTATATGATAAAAATGAAACAGCTAAATATCTTCTTTGCATTGTAGTCATTATTGGTTCAGACTTTGTGATGTCATTTACAGCTGTGTGCCATTGGAAATTACTTCACGAGCCACATGTGGCATGCATGCCGTAGGTTGCCAATCCCTGCTCTAGATGACCAGAGCTTATCGGCTGATCTTTTTTCTAACCTAGCTCTAACAGCTCAGTGAGGGGAAAACTGGCTGGTCACATTCAGTGCTTCAAAAACCAAACTAGCAACCGTCCACCATTGCCAATCGGATGCAGAAGTTTCACCAATCACAATGAACAGTGCCTGTTGGGACCAAACTCAGTCCAGACAGATATTTTATTTTTTTTAAAATAGTTTTTGTCTAGTCAAATAACTAAATTAGAAACAAACCACTCACAGCAGAAGGAGTTAATCGCACTGTCACCAGTGATAATATTATACTAAGACTTTAATTTTTTAATTATAGAAAAAACATTTTCTCTAAAGAAGAATCAAATAATTTTCTCAATTTCTACAGCAGACATTTATGCATATGGTTTCCTGTAGTGAAAATGGCTGTGATACCTTCAATGAAAAATAACCCTGAACCTTTTTGATAGTGCAGCCCACCTTATGATGAACAGTATCCTATGCCACCCACTGGTTGAAAAAGATTACTCATGACATCTCTAAGGTTTATTTATATATCATGACAGCTATTAAGGAGATGTGATTAAATATACTTTAATGTTTAAAAAAAAATTATTCAGTATTATTATTGTTTAGGTAATAAGCATTATAACATAGCATAAATAGCTATATTGTGGAAAAAGGAATTTTTGACAATATATGCATTTTTTTACATATTTATGGTTATTTTTTATTTTTTATCAAAAACGACATTCTTGTACATGTAGTTATGGTTAAGATTATACATTAATTACTAATTTTTTTAATTAATAACTATTTGTGTTCGGTTGTTGACATTAATAGCTATCTGTTGATGTGTTAAAATTTTAGAATAAAGCAATAATAAAAATTTAAATTTTATCTCTCTGATAGATGTCGTGATCTGTTAAAAAAGATAAAATAAAATGATAATGATAAATCAACCTTTTTGGGGGGAGCAAAAAAAGAATAAAATCTATAAGCCTCTCTGACATACCATCATCTTCTTCTGTTGCATTCGGGCTTGGAACAAAGATTGCCTCCCCAACACAGTTTCCTTTGGGGTCTTGGTAAATTTTCAATGAACGAAGGACAGTGTCAATTTTGTTTACCTAAAGAAAGAAAGAAAGAAAATTTTTTTTTGTAAAGAAAATAAAATACACATATTAAACACAGTTTATCTCCCTTGTATTTTAAAAACTAAAACCTAAATTTCATATTTACGTTCAATGTATGGGCACTTCAGCGTACCATAATAGCTAGCAGGGGCACCTCGAGGTGGCATAATGGTTAGCAAGCTTGTCTCGCTAGAACAATTACGACTGTGTAGTGAGTTTGATCCTCACTGGATGCCCCATACTTTCGGCCTTGTGCCACATCTGAGCTACGCTTGGAAAATCACTATAATAGTTAGCAAGCTTGTCCTGCTAGATCAATTACGACTGAGTAGTGAGTTCGATCCTCACTGGGTGATCTACACGTTCGGCCTTGTGCCACATCTAAGCTACACTTGCAAAAAGAGAGCCCTCTAACTTGGTGAAATGGTTAGTAAGTGTGACGCTCTTGATCTATTACAACTGAGTAATGAGTTCGATCCTCACTGGGTGCTCCACACTTTTGGACTGAGAAAATCATTTAATACTTACCTGGCTTTGGCTGGGTAGTTTCAAAATAATATCAAGCTCTAGGCAAGTGCCATCCTCCAGACAGTACCTCTTTTTTGGGAAGGGATGGGGCCATTACTCGGTACTTGATGTATGCCCAAAGAGGAAATTCTGAGGGTGCTTGAGCAATTTTCCCACAGAATTGTGATTAAATTCACCTTAAACTTGTGTCACAACAAGCAATGTGGGCCTGCTGAAAAATCCACCCACTTAACACTTTCATTATGCAAAATATTTCTTGTTAACGATTTCTTTGTATTAATAAATTCACGACACATTCAGATCAGCACTACTTTTCAGATCCAGTGAATTTTTAAACATCAAGTGATATTTTTTTAAAGGTGGGACCAGAGGCATAGCATAAGTTGCTGTCACCCTAAGCAATTAGTGTGCTCTTTTTTCCCCAGTCCAGTATTGAAGGGAAGAACATGTATTTTAAGAAAATACTTTATGTTTTTTACAATGACATTCACCCATGTAAAAAGCCCGAGAGCCACTCGAGGTAGAGGGTTACAAAGTAAGAAGCACAGCAAATGCAGATATATATGAAAGATAACAGTTTATACTGCAACTATGCTGAGCAGACCTTAGTTACAGTTTCTGGGAGAGAGAGCGTGTTATCTAGCATGATCAACAATTTGAACAAGGCCAGCACACTCAAATCCTCGGTCATGATGACTTGTGACTTTGTGCTAGCACAGCTATTGATAGCTCCAAGGGTACCTCTACCCAATTTCACTCACAAGGCTTGGGTCAGCCTGGGATATGGGCACGTGGCCGAATGGTTAAAAGATTCACTTTCTGACCATGTGACCCGGGTTCAAATCTCACCATGGTTGATTCATCAAGAAGGAGACTTCTTGATTTTATTGGTCGGGAGGAGGTGGTCCCAGCATGAGACATATTTGGAAAGTGCCTAAAAACCATATATATGTGTGTGTGTGTTTGTGTTTGTACTATGCAGAGAACAATATATCATATATATATATATATATATATATATATATATATATCTACACTGCAAAGCAGATTGTAAGAAGAAACAAAAATGAAGAGTCTTATATATAATAAGGAAATTCTTCCGTATTTCTGGGAAAGCCATGTTTAGGTCTCCAGATTCAAATGGACCAGATTCATCTAATATGTTCCAGGAGAGGACATATTTCACGATGGGGTAATGGAAAATCTTGGTTTTTCCCAAACTGAATACTGCAAGCCAGAGTTTCTTTCTATATCTGGAAAAGATATATTCCCAAAGAGAAATGGCGCCATAGAGTTATAAACGGTAGTGTCCACAACTCAAATGTCACAGTTTATTGTGAACTGTATAATCTATTCAATAGCTCTACACTATGTGCCTTGCCATGTTTACATATGAACTGGTTTTGAATTCAGAGGTGTTCTCCACCTTGACAAGTTGCCAAACAAGGTTAGAGAATCCAGTCTGTCCTCCTATTTAACCCATAGCTGGTCGGGCAGGAGAATAAAACATGCATTCATACCGTTTCTAAAATTATTTCTAAGAAATTGATTGTAATAGACTTGGCTGATTGATTTCTTTTTCTGAACTGTTAACTATCACACTACCCGCACATGAAGAGGTACTTACTTTATCTTGAAGGTTACATCCATAGGCGTAACGATATGGTCGTGCCACATGTTTTGCATAGTTGAATGTTGGCAATTCAAACTCAAATCTGGATTTTTCATCTACAAACAAAAATAAGAAGATATTAAATAACTCGTTTAACTTTGCCATTAAAAAAAGATGAAAACATTGAAGTAATTTTGCAATGCTATTGTACTTGACCTGAGATAGAATAAATACGTTGAGTCAATTGCCTCTTCCACTGCAAGGAAAGTTGGCTCCCTGAGCCGCGCTAGGAAGTTTTTCTCCCCGGAGTTGATCTTCCAGATATACAAATCCACAATTCACCCTTGCATGGAGTATTGCTGCCATATATGGTCTGGTGCCCCTTCTGTTTGCCTCAGGGTTCTTGATAGGCTCCAGAGGCGGATATGCAATGTGGTTGGCCCTGCCCCGGCGTCTCATCTACAGTCACTTTCTCACAGACGCGCCGTCGCCTCCCTCTGTCTGTTCTACAAATACTTTCATGGAAATTGCTCCGAGGAGCTGCATTCGCTGGTTCCCAGACGTCATGAGTTCCAGCGCCTTACGAGGCTGGCATCCCGCTCTCACCCCTTCACTGTCAAAACTCCTAAATGTAGCCGTCTCTTCTACTCTAATAGCTTCATGTCTCGCACCTCTCACATGTGGAACTCCCTTCCCTTCTCCTGTTTCCCTGTGAGCTATAATCTCCAGCTATTCAAGTGTAATGTCAATCGACTTCCCCAGTTGCCTTGATCTATCCACTACCCTCATCCTTTCTTCTATCACTCCTATCTGATCTTGCTCTAAATTTTCTGTAACCCCTTGCATCCTAGTGGCTTCCCGCCTTGCTTGGGGTGAAATGCTTAAAAAAAAACTTATATTGCTCTGTTCTTTCTTGTTTATGATCAATATCTCCAGAAGATTAAACGGCTTACGGCCATGTCACATTGAAACACCGATTCCTGTACGATCTCCAAAGTTAATTAATGTCAAGTCTGGTCAATACCTAGATGGGTGACCACATGGAAATTCCAGATTCTGTAAACTCGGATGTGCAGGTGGTGTAATGAATAATGGCTCAGAATTTTTAATTGAAGAGGTGAGTTCCAGCTCTAGTTGGGTTTGTTATATTCACTTATCCAGAAATACCTTTGGGAAAGGTAGGAATCCAGCTCTTCTCCCCCTCCTAGTTATGGGTTAATTAGTAAAACTTGTATCACTAAATCATTATGAACTTAAAAAAAATTCTTACAATCTAAAACTATTTTCTGTTTTTAAATAAGCTGCAAATGGTTGATAAGCCATAGAAATATGAATGAATCGATCAAATACTGAGTAGCTACATGGACATGTCTTTTAGATTTTTGATTTACATACTCTGGAAAGAAATGTATAGAAACTACTGGGGTCATAAAGTGAGGGATCAGTTTATATATTGATTGTTATATAGAATTTATCCCCCACTTTATATCCACATTATAATTTCCTGTTTGTTTATCAAATTCTGATTAGGTACGAATCCACCTCTTTGCGTTTTTACATGTTTTTGATGTAATATTCTAAAATAAAGTATATATATATATATATGTTAATGTATATTTGGGCAGCAACTTTTTTAAACAACTTTCATTAAATGATAGACAAGGAAAAATTTTTTATTTAGTTTTTCCAATGTTATTACATGTTTCCATTTTGGGCAAGTAAGTGAGTGCAAAAACTGTCTATTGTCCCAAGTGCTTTCAGCCACTTCTTCAGATATTTTTAAGCAGGGGGTTGTTTTTAGGGGTTGCTAATTTCTCTTCATCATTAAATTTAAGATGTACTTTGTTGTGTTGTTTTGAATATGAGTTGGAGTGTTTATTCTGAGTCTTATCATGTTGAACACAGCTGGAATTATTTTTAATTTTCTAGTTGAATTATTGTTGTAAAGTAGTTTTCACAGTGGAGGCTTTTATTTCACTAAGTCGGTCCTAAAAGGATATGACGTACAAAATGTTAGGAACTTGAAATAAGAGTTAATGATACAGCAATCTAGTTGTGATGGTTGATACTTTAATGACTGACATCGACTGACTTGCTCAACTCCACTGAGCTCAACTGGCGACCGCTACTACTACTACTTATCATGTGTGGGAGAGTCTATTAATAATAGAATAGGTACGTTCAGGTATAACAATTATTTACCTATATTGCATACGATCCATTATCTAATTATGTTTTTGTACATAATTAGGTTACAATTAAATTTGTAATTTATATATTATACAACCTTACGAAAATTGAGATATATTAGAGTGAAGGGCCCCATAGCATAGATTTGGTGGGGGAGGTCGACAAGATTCTTGCACAGGCTATATATATATATATATGAGTGTGTGTGTGTATGTATATATATTGTTCACCTATATGATCCATTATTGTATATAATTAGGTTACAATAAAACGTGTATTTTATATGAATACTGTCTTATGACAAATGAAATGTTGTAGAAGGGGTGGGGGTGTATCCTAAATTTGGTTAGGACTCACGTGATGCTTGGCACTGGTTCCATGCATTTATCAGACCTACCCAATAGAACCACTGACCCAAGATACTGATGTTCACCACTTTGGGAAAACACTTTTTTAGAGGAACAAGAAAAAAGATTACATACCAGCCGGGTCATCTGTTAAGTAATCACAGGTTAAAAAGATACTGCCATCATTCCTTTTCACAGCAGTTGCCTTGCTGTCTTTTAGAGTGATCAAATTCACTCCAACAGGAGCCTGCGTAAGAGAGACAAGTAATTTTTTGAAAACAGTTATTTTTAGAATAAAATGCTCTTACAAATTACATTACACTAAAAATGCTTTACATAAAAATCTAAAAAAAAAATAGATATTTTCACGTCATATCTTTCATGATTTAATGAGTAAGATAAAAAAAAATGTATTAAGCAAAATTACAATACCGAAGAAAGATATTTTAAAATAACAGCATTGGATATTTTGTGTCTTTCCTTGCAATGAGTATTGTATGGTATTTTAGTATTATCTACTAATCTTTATTGTAAGATTGACAGGTATTAAATTTTCCCAGGCTTAGAGATTTTACTATTTAGTCGTAGCATGGTAACAGATGTAATAGGGTTAAAATTATGAAGATAATTTTTATGTTCCGGAAAAATATAAAAATAAATATTTTTTACATATATACATGTAATTGTACTTCCCTGGTACTATTGTCAAGACAGATTCAAAATAACATTAACTGAAGACCCAGGAAGCCATTCTCCCAGGCAGTACCCCTCCTTCAGGAGGGGGCTGGGCTTATTGCCCAGTGCCTGAGGTGGCTCCAAAAGGGGGAAGTGCCAAGGGGGCTTGAACAATTTTCCCTTGGTATTGCTGTTAAACCCACTTTAAAATTTGACCATGTGTCACATTCAGTTGCAACATGGGCACACTGAAAAAATACACATGTATGTATTTAGTTGTAATTTCTATAAGTCTGCTACCACATGACCCCTTAGGGATAAGGGAACTACCACATGTGCTTTAACTATGGCAGGCCAAAACAAGTAATCAAGTCAGTGTTTCCTTGTTTGTGTATTTCTTTTTGTTTATCAATTTTCCCCCTTTTGAGAGATGATGAATTTCCATTTTCTAAGGGACATTAATAATAACCGGCTTTTATTATGTGACTAAAGTATTGCTTATAATTTTTCATTTCAAATATGAATACAGAGATATCGAAATTTCCATTTTGAAAATTTCAAAAATTATCCTGAAAGTTAATTTTTTTTTAAACTCACTATCGGAGCCCATCTTCATTGATTTCTAGGACAATAAAAGCAATACTTTAGTCATGTAATAAAAGAAATAAAAGAAGAAAAAAAAAGAAAGAAAGGAAAAAGAAAGAAAAACAGATCATACAAGAAGAAAAAAAAGAAAGAAGGGAAAAAGAAAGAAAAAAGAGATCATACAAGAAGAAAAAAAGAAAGAAACGAAAAAGAAAGAAAAAATAGATCATACAAGAAAAAAAGAAAGAAAAAAGAAATCATACAAGAAAAAAGAAAGAAGAAAAACAGATTATACAAGAAAAAAAGAAAGGAAAAAAGAAAGAAAAAAGAAAGAAAAGATTATACAAGAGTAACTTAAAAATCATCCGCACTTTTGCCATATCTTTAGGATTTAGGAATAAAGAGCAGCAATCCAGTTTCTCTGGTCAGAAGCAGAAATTCATTGGGGACTTTTAGCACAACAACAGTGCATTACTACTTAAAAGTGTGTATAAGTGGATAGAGAAGTTTAAAAGTGGCTGGACAATCGTAATGCATGAAGAAGGAATAGTACACCTGTCAACCTCCACTACTGACAAGAAGTTTCAGCAAGCTCGAGAGATGGTAATGGCAAACCAGTGAATTATCATCAATGAGGTAGCATGTTCTCTGTAGATCTGCACTTTGTCATTTCTTGGTGTACACTGCTAGTGGAGCAGCCATATTTACACTGTAACAGCAGCAAGATCATGTGATTGCAATAGTACTATATGCTGCATGAGGAGAAGGCAGTGGTGTGATAAACCTAAAGATATGTTATGGCAAAAGTGTGGATAATTCTTGACTTATCCTGGTATATCATTAATTTACTCACCCCTTTCCTGGTAAATTGAGTTAAATAATAGTAATATAGAGTTTTTTTTCAAATATGTCATTCAAAAGTTGTTTACACACATTAGATATAAGCCAATAAGAGGTTCATAACTAGCAGCGTAATTTGTAATTGGAGATAAAGTGCATTTTGGGATAGTATAGTCACATGTTCTTTTAAGAGGGTTTACAGCCAGACCATGTTGAAACAGCTTTTCCTTTATGATCACCAAAGTTAAGCAACATTGAGCTTGGTGTAAGATTGGATGTGTGGGTGGTGTAATGGATAATGGCTTAGAATTTTAATTGTAGAGCCAAGTTCCAATTCCAGTTGGATTTATTATATTCATTTACACAAAAAACCGTTGGGAAAGGTATGAATCCACCTTTTGCCTCCCCACAACTATGGGTTAATTAGTAAAACTTGTATCTCAAAAAAAAAAAAAAAAATTATACAGAATATTTCGATTTTGGAATTAAATAGCCCACAGAGATGTTGATATGCTGCTAAACAAGTTTTTTAAATGAAGTCATTTCATAATTACAAATTACAAAGTCAATATTAAAAAAAAATTAATTTGTAAATTTCAAAAAGTTTAAAATAGGTTTCATTTTATTGTCAGTAAATATATAAAAACTACTTGTAATTCACACAAATATTATGACTAAAACCAGAAACTCCTTGCATGTGAATTTGACTTGCCACTTACTAAATATTAATGCAAAACATTTTGTGAAGTTTCCAAACTCCTATGGTACTAACCATGGCTCAACATGAAAATAAATGCTAAGTTGATATTATTAAAAATCCATCTTCATCAAATTTAGACTGTTTTTCTCCCTAAATTGTAAAACACCATTTTTGACTTTTTTTCATCAATATCAGAGCATCATGGAACATTTGTCTGAGCTTGGTGTAAAATTGGATATGTGGGTGGTGTAATGGATAATGGCTTAGAATTTTAATTGTAGAGCCAAGTTCCAATTCCAGTCAGGTTCATTATATTCACTTACACACAAATACCATTGGGAAAGGTATGAATCCACCTCTTCTCTCCTCCAAGTATGGGTTAATTAGTAAAACTTGTATCTCAAAAAAAAAAAAAAAATACAGAATATTTAGATTTTGACATTAATTAACCCACAGAGATGTTGATATGCTGCTAAACAAGTTTTTTTTTTAAATGAAGTCTTTTCATAATTAAATTTTTACATGGTTTTTATTGCTTTGAAACATTTTTTCATTTACTATTGAATTTCAATTGCTTCATAACTAATCATTGCTGACTTTTGATTCCAGTAAAGACAGCCATTTTAATAATTAATCCTCTCTTCGTATTGAGTCATTGTCAAAGCATTAGTATTGTGGGGTTTCCAAACACCTAATTGAAAATATTATAGATATGTAATTCACTTCTTAATTTTCTTGTATATTGCTTCGAGCCTTCTCTCTGGATTTTGTAAAATAAATAAAAATGAGAAAAAAAACAAAAAAAACAAATGTTTTTATCTTGAAAAGTCAAATTACAAAGTCAATATTAAAAAATATTAATTTGTAAATTTCAAAAAGTTTAAAATAGGTTTCATTTTATTGTCAGTAAATAAATAAAACTGCTCGTAATTCACACATATATGACTAAAAGAAGAAACTCCTTGCATGTGAATTTGACTTGCCACTTACTAAACTTATGAAGTTTTACTAAACTTATGAAGTTTTACTAAACTTGTGAAGTTTTCAAACTCCTATGGTACTAACCATGGCCCAACATGAAAATAAATGCTAAGTTGATATTATTAGAAATCTGTTTTCAAATTTAGACGGTTTTTCTCCCTAAATTGTAAAACACCATTTTTGCCTTTTTTTTCATCAATATCAAAGCATCATGGAACTCTTACTTCTCCGATTGGTAAAAACTTTGATTTTTTTTGCCTTGAAATCAAAATATCAGCTTGTTTAGTGGTTTTCTTTATCATTCTACATTCACAGATTTTTACTAACAGCTAAAAAGACTTAAAGACTAAAAACATTTGTCAAGTGTATTTATTATCAAGAGATAAAGACTAAAAATGTATTTATTGTCAAAAGAGATGAAAAAGAGTAACTGTCAAAAGAATGAAAAATTAATAAGTATTTATTGTTAAGTGTATTTATTGTCAAGAGATTAAGACTAAAAACATATCAAAAGACTTAAAACATTTATTGTCAAAAAAGACAAAAAAGGATTTACTGTTATAACTAAAGTTTAATAAGTATTTATTGCCAAGGGTATTTATTATCAAAAGAGTTCAATATCAAAAAGCATTTCATGTTAAAAAAGTTAAGTATTAAAAACATATGTATTGCCAAAAAGCTGAAAGCTAGAAGGTATTGTCAAAAGACTTAAAGAAAAAGTATTTATTATCAAAAGATTTAAAAACTAAAAAATTATTTATTGGCAAGAATTAAAGACTCCAAAAATAAGATTGTACTCACATTGTCGGCAACATTGAGAGGAATAACAATGCGTGTAAAATAGGACTTGTTGTTTTGAAATTCTCTATTTCGTATTGCTTCAATATACACTCGGCCAATAATATTTATATCTTCATGGCTGCACAAATCCATTATCAAGTGTCCATCTTCTTCATATGAATTGATGTGATGAAAGCAAAAAAAGTTATTCATTCTGTACACAGTTTTTAGTTGTTGGCCATTTCTTTTTTCAAGCACGGCTATCTGGAGCTGGAAAATACAAACAGAAAGTTAAGATTGTAATGGCAATATTAGCCGTTTCCTTATAAGGAAACATTTGTCATTCATTGACTGAGCAGCCAGTGCTACTTCTGGTTGAAATTTATAAAATCTTTCTCACTATTTACATTGTTCGGACAGTTGTCCTCATCTGTGTCATATTCATAACTTTTCAGTCATTGTATGCTATGGCCTTCTTCAGGTGACATACATTGGAATTTTGAAGTGAACCTTTTATTTAATCCACAGGTGCAGATTGTTCTAGTTCCATGTGCCATGCTTTTCTGGATATCTCCATTTTAGTTGTTGCTGTTGTTGAAAGTCCTCAAGTGATTTCTGTTGATACAGTTTTTTGTGATACTGTAGTGCTAGTCCACAAGGCTTGAAGAAAGATGGTCTTTGCTAAGTCTGACAGGCTCATTCACTCAAAGCCGTTTTTAAACATCGATCTTGGAAAGCAGGATGTTTAAGAACATGACTCAAGTTTTTAGGTTAAGTTTTGGTTTAGTAGAATTTGCAGTGTTGGGACAAACTACCTCTAGGACAGCCTATTCTATATTCAATTTCCTTTTCTCATATACTGAATTTGTTACAATTGATCCATACACTGAGATATTTGAATTTTTTTTGTTTTTAGTAATTCCAAACCTGAATTTTTATGTTGTATTCAGGGTAGGTGCCATCACTTTTTTCATTCAAATTCCAAATAGTTCCTGTTTTCTGAAATTGGAATGAAAACAGAAATGGCTCCCTTTTCAAGTAAATATCATCAGAGTTTGTTTGAATTTCTCAGATGAAGAATTTATTATTGTACATTGATTTATTGATATTCTTTCTTATTAACTCTTTCCACCATAAGTTTTTAAGAAACTTATGGTAAAGTTTAACTTCAATCCAGGCAAAAAAAAAAAATGGTGTTTCAGAAAGATGTTCTTCTCTTGATACTGATACCCCAGTATACTTCCTCAGTAATTTGTTTTAAAAACCTATTTTTAGAATTTGAATAGAACCATAACATGAAAATGGATCTATACATTTTCTTTTTTTATTTTGAGAATTAACCCCCAAAATATTAATTATCATTTATTTATTTATTTAATTGTTTATTTACAAGATTACTAATTTAATTAACTGTAACTATAGGAAAATTACATTTTTGGATTTGTTCTGGACGTTTTTGAAAACAAAACAAAAATTACTTCCCAAAGTAATTCTTATGGTTTTAAAAGAGTATCTTTAGGATGTTTATCAGATCATAGCATATGAAACTGGGGCACTTTGACAAGGTCTAATGGTTAGTAAGCTTGCCTTTCTAGATTAATTATAACTGAATAGCAAGTTTGATCCTTACTGGGTGCTCCATACTTTTAACCCTGTGCCACATTTAAGCTATGCTTAGAAAAATCACCATAACATATGAAACTGAATTTATATATCTCTAATATTGAAACTGAATTTATAGATTTTTCTTGGTGTAATAAACCTGAACTACCTCAGATAACTTTCAAGTTCACTATTCAGTTTCATATCTGTTTAACATTTAGTCAAATATCTGACTTACAGTTACAAAAAGGATCGCAAGAGACAGATACATCTATAAAAATAAAAAAAAATAAAAAGCAAACACTACCCTGTCCGATAGCAAAAGCTGCTAGTAACACCAGGGTTGGTAGTACCACCTTAGCCACTGAAACTGTGTTACTGGCTTGGCAGATGAGAAGGGCAGAGTATTGCTTGTATTTTCACACATTGTATGTAGAAAACTGTTTTGGCTTTATTAGGGTAACAACCCTGAAATCAACATTTCATGAGCAGAAATATAAAAAAAATGGCATTTCAGGGTTAAAATGTGAAACATGGTTTGGCAAATTCAACTCTGGACCAGAAATTGGAAGAAAGAAGTGAGAAGCTGTGTTGATAGCTGATAAAATAAGATTAATGTATTTTCAAGTACAGATATCAGTGCAAAGTGCCTTTTTAGTCAGAACAGTATTTGTGTTGATAGGTGGCACTTGGGTGTTCAGAGTGTTTGTTTGAAAAGAGTTAGAACAAAGTTTGAAATCTGGTAAGGGAAAAATTAATTTAAAGCTGAGGACTAGATAGAAAACAGATGTCCATTATCTGCAATTTTTATAATTATCATTATTTTGTATTTCTGGTGAGGAAACCTTCACCAGTAAGAGAGCCATTTGGTTAATTTACAGAAATATGGAGATAATGAAATGTGAGCTATGAACATTGTAAATTGTCATTTTGGGGGACTTGGCTAGGTAAAGTGAAGTCATTAATCATTGTTAATGGGGAAGATTAACATGCATTTCACTTGGAAGTCATTTTCCATGAGGGGAGGAAATGGACTGGATTCAATAACACACCTGCATCTCACCAAACACATAGGCACAGTAAATACAGAAAATCCTCAAGCATCATTCCGTAGAAGTTAAATCCTGTAGGCATATTTTTTGTCTCTTCACTCTGAATTCTGTTAGTTTGCTGAATGAGTTTGATTCATTTCTCAATGAACTTTTTCCCCTCTCAAGCTGACCACCAACAACTCAATTGTAACCAGATTGATTTCATTGATTTTTTACAGGGACACAATGATAGAATTTGGGACCAACTCCTGACAGGTAGAAGTGGGAAAGGCTTAATCTCTGTTCAAGTGAATTAGGACAGACAAATCTACTGGCTTTTTTGCACTTGTTCTAGCGCATGATGTAGTTGGCTAATACTATCTAACACTTTTGCCCCAGCTCCTCAACCTCCAACGTCTTACTCTCTGGGTTGAGGTGTCTACTCGGTCCTAACTGAACTTAAGGGAGTGGCCGTAGGTCCCCTGAGCATCCGTAGGTTATTCGACCAGTCCACTAGTTTAATCCTGCTTCCTGCCCACATAGTGTTTGGTTTGATCCAGAAAGCAGAAGTGATGTTCATCTATTCATGGTTGACTGAAGATGTAGACACGGCTGGAGAGTCTGCGCTAAGAAATTCAGAATGCAGCAAAAAAAATATTAATATCTGCAGAAAGCTGGACAAACAACTATTCAATGATTGAATTGTTAATGTCTTTTATACAGCAGAAAAGAATAGTATAGAAAAGAAACAGGTTACAGAAAAGAAAAGTAATTGATGTAAAAACACATACACTGGATTCTGGACAGAGAGAGAGTGTGTTATGATTAACTTGTTGCTAAATCGTCTCAGAACGATATACAACTCTTGCGATGGGGAAATAAGACTTCTGTGCATGGCTTAAAGTTTATAGTGGCGTTCCTCCTAACACAGTAACAGTAGTAGTAATATTCGTGGTAGCAGAAGCAGTGGTACTTATATCAAGAGTACATGTTAGTGGACACTTTGTTCCAATCTCTGACATCACTTTCTCTCCTTCTTGAGTCTCCAACTTGACTCTCCACTGTCTCTAGCCCATCTCTTGCTCGGGCTAATTCTCTTCTGTCTCTCTCTTCCATCTACCTCTTCTTTAGCATAATTACACATTTATATAGAAAAATCTGGCTGGTTACAACTGAACCTTGGCTTTACTACTTGGCATGTGATTATCACAGGGTTTTGGCCGTTTCAACCAAAATCATGTGAATTCTAAAGATCCTCCTTGCTTACTCAGCTCTATTCCAAGTTTTAATCTATAAAAATTATTTCGACCATTTCCATTGTCTGCTAATGATCCAGTTCCAATGGGTACAGCTCCTGCCCTAGATCAGATTTCACCATCAGTAAACAAAAATGTTCTGATCTAATTTTGCTGTTCAAACCTACCCCAATTTCACTAAAAAAAAATATACGTGTGTGTGTGTTTCCCAGACTCTCTGTCACAACTAATGAATTATCTGATCCACTCGATTATGTCTGGTGCAGCAAACCAACCAGTTGTAATTGAGGGCTATGACAAGGAGCATCACACCCTTAGGCCACCCTTTTATACTAAAAATAGCTTTTTAAAATGATAAAAAGTATCAAGGCAGTATACAGTAAAAGCAGTGAAAAAATGCCATTTGGATGTAAATTTTTTTTTGCCTGATCTTTGCCAAACTTTTTGTTTTCGAATATCAGCCTTCCTTTAAAAACTATTTTCTCACTTTTTCAACTAAATGTAAAATTATTTAAAAATTTTATTAAATCTCAACAAGATTAATTATTTAAATTTAATCACTTCATCTTCTTATATGCTGTTCCCCTTTTCACAATTTGGGCAATCATGTCTGTTCACCACTTCCTATTCTTTCTATCTTTAATCACTTGGAACATGAGAAAGAGAAAGGAAAAACAAATTCAGTCCTCATAAATATTCAACAGAGAAATTCAAAAGAAACAGACATAAACAATTACATAATTTTTGATGGGTACTATGCTTTCCTTTCTAAATGCCAGATCATTCACTGTGCTAGACAATTATTTTCACCAAAATTTATCTTGCACATTTATAAATCTACTATACGTACATGAAGCAAATATTGTTGTCATATCTGGTTTGGTGATTTTGCTACATATCTAGATATTCTTGAGAATATCCAAGGAAGAATCTGCAATGTTATCAGTCTTGACCTGGCATCTTGTATTCCTATCACTGTAATGAACTTTCCCTGTACCTTTTCTATAAATATTTCCATGGTAATTGTTCTGATGAGTTTTTCTCATTGTTACCCTGACTTCAAAAATTTGAGCACAATACTAGATTGGCAACTAGGTCTCAATTTCCCTGCTGAACTTGTAACTGTAAGTTCTATGCTAATAGTTTCTTCTCCCACGTTTCTTTCTTGCATATGGAACTCTATTCCAGCTTCCTGCCAACTATGATTTTCAAAAATTTAAATGCAATATCTATCATCATTATCTGTTTTCTTGAATCCTGTTCTTTTATTGCCCTTTCTGTTTCTTTCACTCTCAGTAACCCCCTTGCACCCTATTGATCTTTATTGACTTGTTTGGGGTGAAATGATTAAAAATTAAAAAAGTTTGGAATACGTACCTCCTCTTTATCATATATTTTGATGCAGTCAACATATGAATTACGAAGAACTTTAGCAAATGCTGCTTTTAAAAGATCAATGCATACATTTTGCTCCAAAATGACAAAATAATTCTCCGACATTGCAAAACTGTGGTTGTATGAATGACATGACCGCCAGCGGGATGGTACACTACCAACGATTCGAAGGTTATCAAAAGGTTTAGCATCTGCAATTGAAGAGCACAGAAATGATTTTCAAAGTAATTATGAACTTGTTTAGGAAGGATATATATATATATATATATATACAGTGTAACCCTGATATAAGAGACCCGGATATAAGAGAAACCCAGATATAAGAGAGATTTTCTCAGGTCCCAAATTAGAGCCTGTGTTAATGTATATAAAATATAGACCAAACCCGGATATAAGAGAAACTCGGATATAAGAGACTCCTTCCTCGGTCCCTTTATATCCGGGTTAACTTTAGATTTTCTTATTAGAGCCTGTGTTAATGTATATAAAATATAGACCAAACCCGGATATAAGAGAAAATATGTATAAGAGAAACCCGGATATTAGATTTTCTCTGCTCCCAAATTAGAGCCTGTGTTAATGTATATAAAATATAGACCAAACCCGGATATAAGAGAAACTCGGATATAAGAGACTTCTTCTCCGGTCCCAACAACTCTCTTATATCCGGGTTACACTGTATAAGAGAAACCCGGATATAAAGATTTTTCTGCTCCCCAAATTAGAGCCTGTGTTAATGTATATAAAATATAGACCAAACCCGGATATAAGAGAACTCGGATATAAGAGATTTTCTTATATCCGGGTTACACTGTATAAGAAACCCGGATATAAAGATTTTCTCTGCTCCCAAATTAGAGCCTGTGTTAATGTATATAAAATATAGACCAAACCCGGATAAGAGAAACTCGGATATAAGATATAAAGACTTCTTCTCCGGTCCCAACAACTCTCTTATATCCGGGTTACACTGTATAAGAGAAACCCGGATATAAGCGAGATTTTCTCTGCTCCCAAATTAGAGCCTGTGTTAATGTATAAAATATAGACCAAACCCGGATATAAGAAAATATAGACCAAACCCGGATATAAGAGAAACTCGGATATAAGAGAAACTTCTTCTCCGGTCCCAACAACTCTCTTATATCCGGGTTACACTGTATAAGAGAAACCCGGATATAAGCGAGATTTTCTCTGCTCCCAAATTAGAGCCTGTGTTAATGTATATAAAATATAGACCAAACCCGGATATAAGAGAAACTCGGATATAAGAGACTTCTTCTCCGGTCCCAACAACTCTCTTATATCCGGGTTACACTGTATAAGAGAAACCCGGATATAAGCGGGAGATTTTCTCTGCTCCCAAATTAGAGCCTGTGTTAATGTATATAAAATATAGACCAAACCCGGATATAAAAAACTCGGATATAAGAGACTTCCTCTTCTCCGGTGTCCAAATTAGAGCCCCAACCAAACTCTCTTATATCCGGGTAACTCTATATAAGAGAAACCGGATATAAGCGAGATTTTCTCTGCTCCCAAATTAGAGCCTGTGTTAATGTATATAAAATATAGACCAAACCCGGATATAAAGAAACTTATATCGGATATAAGAGAAACGGATTCGAGATTTTCTCTGGTCCCAAATTAAGCCTCTCTTATATCCGGGTTACACTGTATAAGAGAAACTCTCTTATATCCGGATATAAGCGGAGATTTTCTCTGCTCCCAAATTAGAGCCTGTGTTAATGTATATAAAATATAGACCAAACCCGGATATAAGAGAAACTCGGATATAAGAGACTTCTTCTCCGGTCCCAACAACTCTCTTATATCCGGGTTACAATGTATAAGAGAAACCCGGATATAAGCTCGGATATTTTCTCTGCTCCCAAATTAGAGCCTGTGTTAATGTATATAAAATATAGACCAAACCCGGATATAAGAGAAACTCGGATATAAGAGAAAACTCGGATATAAGAGACTTCTTCTCCGGTCCCAACAACTCTCTTATATCCGGGTTACACTGTATAAGAGAAACCCGGATATAAGCGAGATTTTCTCTGCTCCCAAATTAGAGCCTGTGTTAATGTATATAAAATATAGACCAAACCCGGATATAAGAGAAACTCGGATATAAGAGACCTCTTCTCCGGTCCCAACAACTCTCTTATATCCGGGTTACACTGTATAAGAGAAACCCGGATATAAGCGAGATTTTCTCTGCTCCCAAATTAGAGCCTGTGTTAATGTATATAAAATATAGACCAAACCCGGATATAAGAGAAACTCGGATATAAGAGACTTCTTCTCCGGTCCCAACAACTCTCTTATATCCGGGTTACACTGTATAAGAGAAACCCGGATATAAGCGAGATTTTCTCTGCTCCCAAATTAGAGCCTGTGTTAATGTATATAAAATATAGACCAAACCCGGATATAAGAGAAACTCGGATATAAGAGACTTCTTCTCCGGTCCCAACAACTCTCTTATATCCGGGTTACACTGTATAAGAGAAACCCGGATATAAGCGAGATTTTCTCTGCTCCCAAATTAGAGCCTGTGTTAATGTATATAAAATATAGACCAAACCCGGATATAAGAGAAACTCGGATATAAGAGACTTCTTCTCCGGTCCCAACAACTCTCTTATATCCGGGTTACACTGTATAAGAGAAACCCGGATATAAGCGAGATTTTCTCTGCTCCCAAATTAGAGCATGTGTTAATGTATATAAAATATAGACCAAACCCGGATATAAGAGAAACTCGGATATAAGAGACCTCTTCTCCGGTCCCAACAACTCTCTTATATCCGGGTTACACTGTATAAGAGAAACCCGGATATAAGCGAGATTTTCTCTGCTCCCAAATTAGAGCCTGTGTTAATGTATATAAAATATAGACCAAACCCGGATATAAGAGAAACTCGGATATAAGAGACTTCTTCTCCGGTCCCAACAACTCTCTTATATCCGGGTTACACTGTATAAGAGAAACCCGGATATAAGCGAGATTTTCTCTGCTCCCAAATTAGAGCCTGTGTTAATGTATATAAAATATAGACCAAACTCGGATATAAGAGAAACTCGGATCCCAAATTAGAGACTTCTTAATGTATATAAAATATAGACCAAACCCGGATATAAGTCTCGGAACAACTTTTCTCGGTCTTATATATCGGGTTACACTGTATAAGAGAAACCCGGATATAAGCGAGATTTTCTCTGCTCCCAAATTAGAGCCTGTGTTAATGTATATAAAATATAGACCAAACTAGGGTATAAGAGAAACCCGGATATAAGAGACTTCTTCTCCGGTCCCAACAACTCTCTTATATCCGGGTTACACTGTATATCTAATTACACTATTTATATTCAGACTATAACAGGAGAGAGCTATGGTAGAAAAATTTATTCACCCATTTCTAATTCCCCCATTATATATCTGTGATATAATAGCACCATAGTGCATGGATGGGATGGAATGGCTGAAAGTAAAATGAATGACAAACATGCTTTGTTCTCAGTCTTTTATATTATTAAGACATACACAAAACTCTATGTACATATATATATACATGTCTCACATGAAGAATAATATATATATCTACATAGCAAAGCAGAGTGTAAGGAGAAACAAAAAGGAAGGGTCTTATAATGTGGAGATATTCCTGTGTCTGGAGAAGCCATGTTTAAGATTCCAGATTCAAACACGTCAGATTCATCTATGTCTCAGGAAAAAACATATTCCCTGAATGGGAAACAGCAAATCCTGGGTTTTCCCAAATTAAGGCCTGCGAGCTGGAGTTTCATTCTATATATAAATAGAATATTATTTTCAGTGGATACCATGTTTGAAATAGACATCCAGTTTTATTTTTATTACTATAAACCTTATTTTTAGTGGGTATACATATTTGAGCTGCTATCCCTGGTTTCTAGTTTCTTAAACAGTGAAATTAATATCAACTGGGATAAATCAAGAAGTCTTACTAAAGAAAAATTGTGCCTCTGAGAGGAATAAAAACCCGTATTACTCTTTTTCCTTCCTTTTCTTAGCCAAAATATGCCGCTAACTGATTGGCCACATGAAGATACCTTAATAGAGTAAGTTTTGCATGACCTATTTTAAGGAAAGTACATCTCTGGTTGAGATTTCTATAAATCTGTATCTGCTAACTTCAGTTATGTACTTGAAACCATATGTATTATGTCTGTTAAGAGAATTGTTTTTTATGAATGAAACTTCTACGAGTTCCAAGTTATTTGATGTGGTCAGATGGCCTTACAAGTGGGGGTCTTTCATCTGGGTATTTGTATTCATTGGTTGTGTCAAAATTAAATGAGTTAAGCAGCAAAGTCAGTTGCATAAATCTGCTTTTCAGAGCAGTCTGTTTACTATCATTCACTGAGCTGATATGTAAACTATGCCACAAAACCCAGCAACTCCCAATTGATGTGATTTTTTTAAGTATTTCTAATTTCTTACTGGTAAACCTTTATGTTTTCTTCCACTGACTATAATCACTAAAATTATGATAAAACCTTTTTTTTGTTTACTATAAAACTTAATTGGTCTTCTGTCGTTCCCTTCACTTCTCTTTATCTTATTTTTTTTGTTGCACATGAGATACATTTATCATCCCACACACTAAAGAAAATTTGTGCTCTCCTGCAGGTTAAAACCTAATAATAGTAAAGTCTTAACAAAATAATGCTGTCATGACAAAAAAATGGTGGTAATTATACTGAAAAAGGAATTTATGTCCCACTCACTTCCATCTTGGTCAGAATTACTTGCAGTTATACAATAAGCCATATTTCGATTCTGATAATTGCTTGCCAGGTTATACATAACTCCATCTTGATCTGTGTGCGGATGGGCAGTTGAGCTGTGGACAGATATCATCTTTCCAAGATGCACCTACAGTAGGAACAGTACATAAGCAAGAAATAGAACAACAGAAAAAATAAAAAATGAACAAATAAAAACAATTTTACTCATCATATTCGTTCTACATGTTAAGTACTATGAATTTTGGATGCATGTGTAGCATAGAAGTTATTTTTTCTTTTCTTTTTTTTTATTCTTTCACTCTAACGAGGCAAAAAAGTCACTACAAGGAGTGAAAGTGAAAGAAAATAAGAAGAATGAAAATGGGAAGGAATGAAGAAAAAGCAAAAAAGGAACAGGATTCAAGAAGGCAGATGATTAACATTGTATTTATATTTTTGAAGATTTTAGTTATCAGGGAAGCAAGTAATTGGGAGTTCCACAGGTGGGAAGTGCAAGAAAAAAAACCTGTTAGAGTAGAAATGAAGGTTGCATCTAGCTAGTTCAACAGTAAAAAAAGTTGTCAATCTAGTAGCACACTTAAAGTAGAGGCATCAGGGGAAAAAAAGCTCTGCCAAACAGTTACTATGAAAATATTTGTAGAACAGAGGGAAGCTACATCATGTTGGTGAGATAATGACTTGAGATGAGATGCCTGGTCAGGATCAATAGTATCACAGACCTTTCTCTGGATTTTGTCAAGAATCTCAAGATGCACAGTAGGAGCACCAGACCAGATAAAGGAACACTATTCAATATGATTGACATGATGTTCAAATTCCAGCTAAGGCTGTTTTAATAGCTTTTTCACAAATACCCTTGGGAAAGAAATTAATCCATCTCTTCTTTCTCAAGCTATGGCTGGAGGTTAATCACAGGGCAGACAGGGTTCTCTAGCCTTGGTTGGCAAGCAGTCTAGGAGAAGGACAACTCTGAATTCAAAACTGGTTGGGTGTGGGGCTTGTAACATGGAAGGTCATTTTAAATTATATTTTGTAAATTCGTTTTTATATGAAGAGAAGAAATGTTAATATTTAATTTTAATGTAATCTGGAAACAGTTTTTTTCTTTTTATTTACATTCAAACTTTTGTTCTCATCTTTGTTGTTATTATCACAACATTTCAGCTATTGTAAACTTCGGCTTCTTCAAGAGTTTGTCAATCCAGGTAACCTTTGAAATGAACCCTTTATTTAATCTACAGTGAGAGGTTAGAGGGAATTTTTCTTGTTCTTCTGTCCTCATCCTCTTTATTAGTATTATCCAATTATTGCTAGCCCTGTTTCCAGATCTGCACTACTTGGATCAGTGACTAGACAAATGCTTTAATCAACAAGGTTATATCATAGTGGATTAAAGCATTGGTTTATAAATTTGGAGTTCAATTTATTTAAACTTGAACAGCAGACTTTAAGATGTCCAGTCTAATACTGAATTATTCAGCTATCATTGTTGCAATCAAAGTTGATTCTGTAGTTTACAAGCCACAGGATAATTGTTTTGTCATATCCTGTCAGCACTTCTATATTTTTAAAAACAAGTGGAAAAAAAAGCTTAACTTGCAATCAATGTAAAACTGATTGAGGATATGAAAAGGTCTCAAAGCTTCAAAAAATGCAGTCTAAATGACTAGGATCAAAGAGTAATATCTGTTCCAGTAGCCGAAAGCAGGCTCACAGCTCCAGCTGGCAACAGTTGAATATATCTTCAATAGGCATCCAGCTGTAGCCATCCTCACCAGCAGCATTGATATGCAATAAAATGTTCTTTTCAGGACAACACTCTTCACCAACTGCAAAACTGTGCTTTTGGGGACAACATTCTTCAGCGACTACAAAACTATGTTTTTCAGGACAACACTCTTTGTCGACTACCAAAAATGTCCTTTTCAAGACAACGCTATTCAGTGACTATTCTTTATTTAATGTCTCTGGGTCATCACTTATGACTTTTGCTCGGTGTTGTAAGCAGCGGACGATCCCTTTCTTTACACTGTATGGATGGTGGGGGTTGAAATTGAGCTACTGTCTGATGAATGTTGGTTTACGGTATATGGATGTCTTGAGCCTATGCTCTGTTCGAGATATTCGAACATCCAGGAATGGGAGTGTGTTGTTACTCTCTTTCTCCATCGTGAACTGTATCGAAGGTCTTATTGAGTTCGCATTGTCCAGTAGAGCCTAAACATCTTCCTGGTGTTGCCAGAGCATGAAGATGTCATCGACATATCTTAACCATAGAGTTGGCCTTAGACATATAGATTCTAATGCCATTTCCTCAGAGTATTCAATGTATATATATAAGAAATATAATGGGGAGACAGCCCCCTCCCTTTAAGGTAAGGCTTCAAAAACACCAAAAAGGTGTAACACAAGGGGAAGTGGAAAAATCAGGCCTGGCTGACCACATATGGAGAGAAAAGGGAAATCACCACCTTCTCTGAGATCAGATTGAAATCATAGACATAGGACATCATTGGAAAATTCATAAACTTAAGGAATCAGCACATATGCTAAGCCACAAATATCTCCTGAGCCGCCCAAGCATAGAAATGAATACAATATAGGAACCAGTAATATGGAGTGCCAGAGAAAAGAAATAATAACAATGAAAATTGCAATATGGGCTCTGGTAAAAAAAAAAAAACATGCAATGATAACAGAAAAAATTGCAATATGAGCACTGGTAAAAAATGGTTGCTGAAGACATTAGGTTTATACCAGAAATTCATACACAGATGTCCTCAAGGGCACATGACACAGTGGATAAAGGCATTAGTTAGATCCAGTGACAGGACCCAAAGAGTGTGAGTTCAATATCTGGTTAAGGCAGAACTTGGAGAGGTGAATTAACAGGAAATAACTGATAACTGACATCCATTAGACATGGTATGTGGAACTAGAACAATCTACCCCAGTGAGCGAAATGAAGGGTTCAGTTCGACATTCCAACCATCTGAAGAAGGCCAAAGCATACAACAGCCAAAACATTGTAATAAATATGGCAACAAAGATGAGGATGATAGTCCGAGCAATGTAAATAGTGTACATAATACCTCATCTCAGAAATATAGACAGATATAGTGAATAATCATATCATTAAAAAAAATTGTTAATTTCTATTAACAATTATTATTTTTATATATATTATAACCATTTCGTTTATGGATTAATTAAAAATTATTTGGAAACCAGTGGTTTGATGAGACTGGAAATTGCATTATTCTCCAAGTTAGAATATTTTAATACTGTTGTGCTAATAATAAAAATGACACTATGATGTGGCATTTTTTGCTGCATTACAGTAACAAATGGACAGATATATAGAAATCAGAGGATTTAGATAACTGATAGACAATACAGTATTATAATGTTTTACTTGCCTTATCAACTGGATCAAGTGTGTCAGGGTCCACCTGAAAGATTTTGTCAGTTTCCGTCATTGTAAAGATTGCATCTCCATGTTTGACAATATTAACGGCTGTGTTATCAGTTGCATTCATTTTGAAGTAAGATAAAAACCTGCACAAACAAAAATGGCTGAATGAGAATTTCTTATCAGCATAGGATTATAGAATTATAAAAGAGGAGCTTATCTCTGTGTTTTTTTTTGTTTTTTTTTTACTTTGGCAGTTTTTAATTTTACTTATTAGTTTATTACTTGTTGTATTCATTGGCCCGTTACTCGTAGGCTTTTTATTTATTTATTGTCTTATTTTCTCGTCTAATATTTTATCTGAATAAGTTTCAATTTTAAAATCACTAAATTAAAAGAGAAAAATTTGAAACAACTCTTAATTGAACAAGCAGAGTCCAAGAGTCGTTTAGATTATTCTTTATTTTTTTTTTATTATTGAACTAACATTTCAGCCGATCTGCTCTGTAGGCTTCTTCAGAGGTAGAAATCCATATGGAAAGAGGAGATCTCTTCTACTTGGTAATGCAACATAGGTAATGGAAGCAAATTGAAAAAATATAATAGTAGCAAATATACTGATTGGATCCATCTATTCAGAGAGATTTTCTTTTTCTTTTTTTATTATTGGGTGCCAAATAAAAGGGTAGGGGTTAATAAATGGGCAGTTAAAAAAAATCTAATAAACAGTGGGGTCAGGAGGTTTTAGTCAATGTGGTAGGTGGGAGATGATTATCCAAATTTACATTGCAAAGAAATTCTGGAATGTGACTACTGGGTTTATTGATAGTTTCGGAAATTTTAGCATCATAGCATAAGTAAAATACTTTTAAAAAAATCAAAAATATTTACATTAATTCTTGCCAACATTACATTATAAATAAATATTAATAAGCAGTGGAGCTCTAATAAAATATAACAAAAGAAATACAAAAAATATAAACCTAAAAATAAAATGCAAAAAATATAATAAAATAAATAAAATATGAAAAAAAACCACAGAAAACAAAGCATAAAAATAAAATAAAAACAAAAATAAAAAATTAAAAAATGAAAACAAAAAATAAAGTAAAAAATGCAAACAAAAATAAATAAAATACGAAAAAAAACAGAAAATAAAACATAAAAATAAAATAAAAACAAAAAGAAAAATAAATAAGTGAAAACAAAAAAAACGTAAAAAATGCAAACATAGAAATAAAAAAATAAAAAATGATTACAAAAATAAATAAAATGCAAAAAAATTATAGAAAAACTCAAAAAATAAGAGAGACAAAATGCAAAAAGCAAGAATTAAGTGTGGGGTGTGTATGTGCCAGGGTAACATTTATTTGACACCTAAGAGTATTTATATTGCTATTTTGTACTATTTTTGCATTAAAAAAAGAAAAGGAAAGAAACCACACTTTTCTCTTGTGAATTATTCATCAGAAGTGAAGATTATAAAATAGATCATCTGAAACATTGTGTTAACATTAAGAACACAAAGAACAAATACATTTGGAATGTTAATGACTTCTCAAAATTAGAGACCCTAGAATGAACTTTGTAATTTAAACAGTTGACCTTAACATCTAAATTTGTTTTCTTTCTCTCAATCTAATGCTATCACAGAGTTGAATCATTTGTTTAAAATCATTACTGCCATTAATTTACAAACTAAATAAAAACTTCATTTCACATTTTTTTAATAAAACTTTTATATAAACCTTATAATTATAATTATTATATAAAAATAATTATATGATAAATAATTATTATATAATTATTATATAATAATTATATAATAAATAATTAATATATAATTGTTATCTGATAATTATATAATAAATAATTTTATATAATTATTTATCATATAATAATTATTTACTATATAATTACATAATAATTATTATATAATAAATAATTATATAATAAATAATTATATAATAAATAATTATTATATAATGATTATATAATAAATTATATGATTATATAATAAATAATTATACAATACATAATTATTATATAATAAATAATTATATAATAATTAATAATTATATAATAATTATGTATATAATTATATAATAAATAATTATATAATAAATAAGTATTATATAATTATTATATAAACCTTATATTTCTAAAGAATTAATGAATTCATTTTTAATTTGACATTTTTTTTTACTTCAAACATAATTATTACTCCAAATATAATTAAAGTGGATATTTCATGTTTGAAATAGATGCCCCATTTCTATTATGTTGCCACACATTAAAATGACACTTGATAGGAAATGAATAAAAAAAATTTTAAATAACCAACTGAAGATCATTCAAAACAACAACAACAAAAAAAGACAAATCAAGTTATTACGGAGCGGAAAATATATTGAGTGTATTGAAACTAAGGGGAGCAACACTATATTTAGAAAGAATTAATTCTAAGGGAAGCAACTCTTGTATACTTTAAACGAGATTTTTTTAACACTGCTGTTGCAAATTCGTTTTCTTACCTTGAAAATATATTTTTGCATGGATCCGGAATTTCTAGTGTGCCAAACTGGCCGTATACAAGGCGATTGGCTTTGATGGATTCATTCCAGGAATCTGAGCGCAGGATTCGGTTTTTATAAAAGACTTTGCCATCTTTAATGTCATAACGAGACAATACTGAAAATCCATCAAATAAGTGATTCATTTTGATGTCTCCAACCTCAAAGATTCCACTGCCATTCCGATAAAGACTTCCATTTAACCAAGAAGGAACAGAACCTAAGAAAAGGAAAAAAGAATCTTTTAGAAATATTCTAGATAAAAGAATAATTTATTTAAAAAAATAAAAATATAGAAGTTGGTTTAGTATACACACTCTACACTGTATAAAGAATTTTGTTTGTTTTGTTTTATGACTTATCAACCCCTCATGGGTCATTTAAAGCCAAGACATTCTTATATTTCATAAAAATTTTTCTTTTTTTTTTTTATATCTAATCATATGGTATCAACTATTCATTTATTTCAGTTCTTTTTTTCCAACTTATGGCTTCACCATTTTTTTTTTCCAATCACATGGTGTCAATGACTTTGGATGGTTTAGATATCAGGGGTTTTTTTTTGTTAGGTTCAAATTTTTTGGTATAATCTCACTCTTTTGAGAAATGATATATCATCCGTCCTTGATCTTTTGCTTATGTTGTTTAAATTGAAGAAAGTGTCGGAGTTAGCTCCTCCTTAACTCCCTAATTGTCACTAGGGATCTCTCTCCCTACACTATAAATACTGGGTGACTTCTCGCCTCATTCTCTTTTTCGTTTCTTCATTTCAGCAAACACCTCTACAATGTGAACTCTCGCAAAATGATAGCATTTCCAACTTGCAGGAAAATGTTGTGAACATTATACACACACACGTATGTATGAACATTCACCAAAATACAAACTCTTTACATTCACACACAAGCACAAATGTTAATGTCTTTATCACTTGTAAATTTCTTGTTTAATTTGTTGACATATATATAGCTGTCTTGTTTGTTTTCTTTTCATCTTCAGTTGGACTAAATTTGAATCCACCATGTTCTTGTAGTTTGGACCTTCCAGCAGGAAAGAAATGCACGTGTTTGTAATTCAACAACACTCATACCCACACGGTCCTCTACAAAAGTCTTCTAAGATGGAGCAAGAGCTGTACATTCAGTCAATACATGTTTTCATAGTGTATGCAGATTTGCAATTTGGGCATACAGGTCGTTCTTCCCCTTTCAGTAGTTATGAGGGAGCAATTTTTATATGGCCAATGTACAAGTGGGCCAATACTACCTCTTCTTTTGGGGATTTTCTGTATCCTGGCTTCCATTCGTCAAGTATTAGATTGACTTATAGTACTTTATTTGGAGTGTTGTTACTCCAGCGTTGTTGCCATTTTTGTTTAATAAATCTGTTTATTTAGCTCTTCAGGTCTGTTTAAGGAAACTTTAATTTCTATATTTTCAACATGTTTAGCAGTTGCATCAGCTTTCTCATTTTCAATTATTCCAATATGGTTTGGAATCCAACACATCACAACCTCTATCGAAAGATAGACACAAAGATATTAAATGGAGTTTGTTTAGAAATTTCCCTATTAATTGATGGCAAAGTGTTTTTTTTTTTAGTGTTGTTAGAACTCATAGTGAATCAGAAAAGATTATAAAATTTTTTGTTTTTGTCTATATCTCTGAGATGAGGTATTATAATTATTAACATCATTTGGATTGTTATCTTCATCTTCATTGCCATATTCACGTTTCAGATGTTATACACTCCAGCCTTCTTCAGGTGATTCAGATATTTTGTTTTTATTTATCGAAATAATACTGAGTGCTAGATCTATGGCACAGGCTTCAGCATTGAAGATGGAGGTTTTGTCTGAGAGGCATTTACTGCTTATTTTCTTCTGAGATATTGCTGTACATCCTGTATATATTGTTTGGACCAATCTGTAAAGATGGGTGTGTGACTGGAATAGTTAGCTTTGATTTTATTAAATTCTTCCTGAAAGTTAAGAGGATGCATATTTGTTTTTTGGAATTTGCGTAAGTGCAATATTATTTTTGGAGATCATATGGTCCAGGGTGCAATGTTAGGAGTAATTATCAAGGATTGTTGCCAATTGTATTTTAGATTCCTCAATAAGAGGTTACATTCAAAGGCCAAATGTTTTTATAGTTTTTTCCTTTTTGTTTATAGAGGTTTCTGTCTTGAGACAGTGATGTAATGGAACAACTTGTCACCCCCATGAGTAACTACACTATAGGTAGTAACTACCTATAAGTATCCATAAGGCAACAGACTATAGGAGTATAGCTGGAATCTTTTCGACTAGACGGTCAAACTCTCTGCCTCTGAGCAGAGAGGAGCCCAGACAAGGCTCAGCTGAAGAGCAGAGTCTCATTCGGGGAGGTTGACCAACCCGATCCTATTATGTGGGTTCTATGGGCATTTTTGGCCGAGCCTATGGGCTCAGAGAACCCACGTTAAACCCGGCCTTGTGCCACATGCAACCCTCGTTTCTAAATATAGTCTAGCTGGAATCTGTTCTAGCTGTGCTTTGGGCAGAGGGGAACCTGGACAAAGCTGTGCTTTGGGCAGAGTCACATCTGGGGAGGTAGACAGAGCCGATCCCATTTATGCATAGTCTACCAGGATTTTTTGGCCAAGCCTACGGGCTTGAGAACCCCACATTAAATTCGACCTTGTGCCACACGTGACTGCATGGGAAAGTTGCTAGATACCATCTAGCTGAGATCTGTTGAGTACGACTCAAACTTATGCAAGAACTACTGACCTTCCAATAGCAGCACTCACTACTGGATTGACTTACAACGACCTTGTGCATAACTGTTATCTTTATTCTTATTGTATTGGTTTTGTACAATAAACCTTTACTTATTTATCCACCAAGTATATATTCCTATTAGCATGGAACATAACAGGCAGGAAAGTATTTTTGTAGGAACGGTTAGATGAACAGGATTTTAGTTTTGTATAAAACTGTAGTGCCAATTTTTCACATCTAAGATAGAAAGAGTTTTGTCAGCTTCTGCTTATAAACTTCCAACTGGTAGGATTTTAAAAGTTCCAAACACCAGTCTTAAACCTCTATGGATGGTAGAATCAAGGAGTTTTAAATATGATTTTCTTGAACCGTATATAATATTACCATAATCTAGTTTTGATCAAATTAGTCCTGTAAAATGTTTGTAAAGTTTTCCAGTCTGCACCCAATTCATGTATGAGCCACCACATGATGGAGTTGTATTGTTTTGCTACATTTCTTCTCGAGATGTTTCAGATGGGGGATGAAAGTGAGCTTTTTATTAAATATTATTCCTAAGAACTTATGTTGATCTACAACTGGTATTTCAGTCTTTTCTAGTCTTGGAGTAGGATCACTATGTAGCTTTCTCTTCTGACAGAAGTACATACATTTAGTTTTTGCTTTAGAAAACCTGAAGCCATTTTCAGTTGCCCATTGGTTAACTCTATTAAGGCACTGCTGTAATTTTCTTTCTATGGTGTGTATATGTATGGATTTGTAAAAAATGATGGAAGTCATCTACATACACTAGAGGTTATTTTTTTTTTACTATGTTATTTATTTTTATACTGAACAGTGTTACTGATAAAATACTGCCTTGGGGCACTCCCTCTTCTTGCTTTTTTTTTGTTTTTTAGGTTAGAGAGAGTTGATCCAACCTGAACTTTGAATTTTGTGCTAGTAAGAAAACCGTTTATGAATTTTGCTAGTCTGTCTTTCAGACCGATGGCATGCAGATCCCACATGATAACATACTCTCCAAGTCAAAGAACATTGCTATAAAGTGTTCTTTTTTAAAAAAAAAAAATGCATCTCTTAAAGCCGATTCTAAATGGATTAGGTGGCCCAGTGTGATTTTTTTTTTCTGAAATCACATTGTAGATCCATAATTAGCTTATTTTCCTCCAAGTACCAGATCAAGCTATTATTTACATTATTCGGACTGTCATCCTCAATTTCATTGCCATATTCACAATGTTTTGGACATTGTACACTCCAACCTTCTTCAGGTGAATGGAATTTCAAACAGAATCCTTTATTTCATCCACCAAGGTAGATTGTTCTAGTCCAATGTGCCATGCCTCTTCTAGATGTCTCAGTTATTTCCCTTTAACTCAACTCTTCAAGTTTTTTTGTTCACCACTGCTGTAGCCTGGTACTGAACTCACTTTTTGGGTCTCATCAAAAATTTATAAAAATTATCAAATTATGTAAACCAACTACAATACAAATTTGGTATACTTATAAAACTTCATGATAACAAATTGAATAGTATCTATTTTACATCTCTAGGTCAATGGGTTCCCAAGATATGACTCTTACCAAAAAGGTGAATTTTGGAAACTAGTCACAAAGTTTAAATATCAGTATCATAGTTGTTTTTTTTTTTCACCCACGAAGCCAAATTATACACCATTTTAAATTAGTTGAATTGATCTAAAAGGTGATCTATTTTTTGTTTAAAGGTCAAATAAGATAATTTGATCTTGACCTTATACCTTTAATTTATCAAAAAATGTATCTTTAATTTTTTTAAATTTGACAACAATTTTTTCATAATTTTGTAGTGGACATTTAGTTACAAGGGTTTTACAGAATTGTGCCATATTCAATATGTCGGATTTGTGCATGCCAATATTTTCATATCTCCCAATATGGTCAAATTGTATATTTTAGAAAGCTCTTTGAATGTTGGTTAATATTCACATAAGAACTATCATCATAAAATCAATAGAATTTTTGTTATTTGTAGTTAAATGTTGACCATTTCAGTGGAAAATAAGCAACCTTATTTTTGGTTTTCTTTACATTTTTATTATACAACAAATAGATTTTTATTTGAAAAAGTGACATAATGAAAATAATTATTTAAAAAAGTGTTTCGAATTAATGTTAAGATAACATAATATAAAAATATGCAACAAATGATGTTAATGGCTAACAAATTTTGTTGACATTTGACATGGTACTAAATAAACAAAAAAAAATATATATATATATATATATATATATATATATATATATATATATTTAATAAATTTTTGATCTGAAAAAGTGCTACATTGAAATGAATATTTAAAAAAAGATTCTTAATATTTACAAAGAGATTAACAAGCAAACCTGTTGTCTAATAAAATTACCAGCATTACCAGAGCTTTTCATCAGCAGAAGACCATCCACAGCCTTCTAGCATTTCTGTAGATACTGAAAATGAATTGCCCCCTTTTAATGAGTTTCTGTTAATGATTGTTGAATCACCAGTAAAGTGTCAAAAGTTTGAAAAACAAACTAGTTATGTGGAATAAAAAGTATAAAAATTTAAAGGAGCAGTATGAAAGAAAATTAAACTGATGTATGGGTAGACAGTCCTCTGTCAGAACACTTCCCAAATACTTAAACTTCCAGTATTTATACGTTAGAGCAGTAGTTCCCAAACTTTTGGGTGGTTGCAACCCGCTCCCCCAATGTATAGTCAATCTTTGATTGGATTTTCTTGGTGCTAGTATTGCATGTCAAATAAGTATCTTAGTATCACCAATAATCATTGATATATAAATTGGATACATTGTAAAGTGAAGACAAGACAAACTTCAATTATGGGTATGTGTATGGTGTATGTTATGGTTCAGATGTGCCACTGCCACCGTCTGGCTGCCCACATTTTTTCGGCATTGTGACCCCTGGATCTTTCACACCCCCACCCCAGTGGGGAGCAGTCCAGCCCACTGTATTTAAAAAAAAAAAAAAAAAAAGTAACAAAATAACCCAGTAAATTTTAACACTTATAATAAGGTCCTTATTTTAATTTCTATGGCTGGCTAAAGATTCAGCAAAACCTTCCAAAAAGACAAATTTAGTGTTCTATAAGTTGTCAGTCCCATCAATTAGGTAGAGGGCATCAGTTCCCCAAGCCCCACCCCTGTAATGAACTCAATATGAGAAATAAAAATAAAATTAGTAGTCTTTTCTTTTGAATAAAAATCTAAAACTAAAGTTTTTATTATTTACTCTATTTACATTGTTCAAATTACTGTCCTCATCTCTGTTGCCATATTCTTGATGTTTTGACCATTGAACATTCTGGCTTTCTTTAAGGACATATGGCCCAGTGGATAAAAGCCTTGGTTGAATCCAATGACTTCACCCAAAGAGTTGTGAGTTCAATACCTGGCTGCAGCAGAGGTGAACAAAAATTTGGAGAGTTGAGTTAAAAGGGAGATAACTGATACTGAGATATCAGGAAGAGGCATGATGTGTGGAACTAGAACAATCTATCCCAGTGGTCGAAATAAAGTGTTCGGTTCAAAAACAAAGATGTGGTCAACAGTCTGAACAATGTAAATAAAGTTTTTATTGTCAGTCATACTCATGTGGGGGAGTTATAACTAAGTATACATATCCCCCCCTACATTTATATATACAAAAATACTTGTGAAAATGAGAAGCAGAAATACCTGGAAACAATGAAATGAGTATTATTTATTATCAGGATGTTATGTGGTAAGGAGAGATGAGAGACAGTAATATTGAGTAAAATTGTGAGTTTGGGATCAAATATAGATCAAATATGGATCAGAATCTGACAGAATGATAAGATAAAGAATAAGTAAAGTCGGTATCTGTCTATATTTCTGAGATGAGGTATTATGTACACTAATTTCATTATTTATGGCTTTCTTCAGGTGGTTGGAATGTTGAACTGAACCCTGAAATTTTCATTGACACACATATTGACGAGTCAGAATCTCACTATTGGAATTTGATTTGATAACCATTACTACAATGTTTTACAAGTTCACATTTCTTAATCCTTATCCCAACCTTTTTCCCCTGCTTTCAAATTCGGCTCCCAAAGCTTTGATCCTTATCAGAGTTAAGAATATATTTTCTAACAAACAAACGAGAGAGTTGGAAAATATAAAAATTAATTTAGCCACCATTACCCTGACCATGGTATCATAAAGCCTGGTGGTGATGCTCCCAATTTGGGCCCCTGCTCCCAAAACCTTGATTCTTATCAGAGATAAGAATATATTTTCTAATAAATGAGAGGGCCAGGAAATGGTATAGCAATTTTGGAGGGAAAAGTTCCTGATATTTCTGAGCCTCCTAATCTCCATAAATATGGAGAATAAGCATCTCTTGGACAGTGAGTAATTGACACCGTCTGGATAACATCAGGTCGGCGATAGGTCATCTTTGGAGTACCTCTCAAGAAAGAGGGCTGTAAAGATAGAATGTCAGCCCACTACTAAAAACTGAGATCTGCTTTCTTGCAACTAGAAGACTTCTGTCATTGGCCTATAAACTCATTCAACTACAAAATTTGGATCTTCTGATACTTTCCTCCCCAACAAGAACTCTGAGGAAATATACCTGAGTGTTTTTTTTAACCCTAAGAACAATTTACTCACTTAAAGAACTTTTAGGTGCTCAGGGAAATATTTTGAGCAAGCTGCCTTTTATGAACATTTTTCATTTTTTTAAAGTTAAAGGAATTTTCTTTTCTCTTTCTATCTCTTATAATTGTCTAATTGTCTATATCCTTTTTTTTTTAACCCCTTTTTTGTACATGTAAATAAACATTTTCTTCTTATATGTTAGACCCTGAGCAGGAGTTTAAGTCTTTATTTTTCTACCTAAAAGGGAGAATTGTCCATGCTAATGATTCAAGCCATTGTTGCTTTTATCAATTTTGTCACATTTAACCTTTTAACGAACCCTTTAATGTGGAAAAGCCGGGAAAAATTTCCCACATCATGAGTTTGTGTGTATAGTGGAGAAAAGTGGGGTCGATTGCCATTGGTTTAGAAAGATTGAATTGATGATAATTATATTTTTATTATAATTATTTTTGACACTATAGTTAAAGTTTTATTTCTTTATGGACATGACAGTATAATTAATTATTAATTTTTATTTATGTATTTCTTAATGGACACAACACATGCACAATGAAAACTTAAAATTTTGATTCATGTAAAAACAGACAGACTGTTCATGTTGTGTATGTATTCCAGAAATACCATAGAATGAAAGGCTTAATTAATACTAGTGCTCATATCGACCTCTGTGTGCATGACACCACCCATTCACAGTCACTTACTACTCACACGATACCTTCTTAATTAATTTGTTTTTATCCTGAAAGTTAGGCTAACTTTCAGGATAAAAACAAAATAAGAAGTATTTTCTAGAGGTACAAATTTTTTAATTTCATTATTACCAGAAAACAATATTTTGAATATTTTCAAGTGACTACACCCTCCCCCTGTTTTGTTGCTTTTGGTTTTCCTCTTTTAGTCTTTCAGTCAGCAATATGAAAATTTTGCAAGAGTTCCCAATTATGTTACTAAATTACTTCTTTTTTCTTACGTTGTTAGTTTAATTGACATATTTAGTTTTAGCCCTAGCAACACGTCAGCCACCACTGAGGTCCAACTCGTACTTTTTGTTTGTTTGTTTGTTTTTTATTAAAAATTGATTCCTATGACTTTTTAGCCGCATAACCTAGTTTTCGGTACCTGAAATAAAAATACAATAGGCCCCCACAGTAACCCGGCAGTAACCTAATTTTACCAACCTGAAATAAAAATACAGACATTTTTAATTTAAAAATGTTAATCAGTGCAGTAACTTAAAAAAAAACCCCTTAATTTTGATATTTCATTCCTTTTTTTTTTTTTTTAGTTAGACTTTATCAGAATGAATCTTTATTTTCTTCAATTTTTTATCTTAATTTAAGTAAGAGAATTATTTTTTTGTTGTTGTTTTCTAAATTGAGGAGAAAAAAAAAAAAACATATCCTGTCTGTAAATTTGCTTCTGACAACTTTCACAGGTCCCTAACTTTCTTGTAAAAAGATCATTTGTATTGTTGAAACTTTATTTAAGATAATTTCCTGACAACTAAAAATATTTCCCTCGTGTCAATAATTTCATAGATTTTATTTTTAAAACTTAAAAATAAAGACGAAGAGAAAAGAAAAAACTTGGGTCGATCAGTGTTTTTCTATAACTGAATTTTAACAGAATTATAACTTTTAAAAAATAAATGTTATTTTTCTTTCTTTCTTTTTTTCTTTTTATTTTTTTTTGCGCGTTATACAAGCGAACAAATAGCGCACCAATGTTTAATTTCTTACTTGCTAGGTACTCTAACTACATTCAACATTGTCCATTAATGACTAAAAAAACGGTACAGTGGGAACTGGGAATTAATGGGTCATACTCATAGGTAGAAAGAAACCTATATAAATTAAATAAAATTAACTAACAAAAATTCGCCAATAATTATAAATTAGGTTACAGAATTTTTATTTTTATTTTTATTTTTTAAATAACATTTTTTTATTTTTACACAGTGGGTATTTATTGGGTTTACGCGTTTTTGGACTTGTGCCAAATTAAAAAGATGCCATAAATTCAACAAAGATCACAAAATCAAACGTCATTTTTAACTTGATTTGAATCTGGCAATACCAAAAATAAATAAATAAATAAAATAAAAATAAAGTAATTATTTTAGTTTTTAGTTGTTCAGCAAAACACTTTTTAGTCTTACTCTTACTTTCACAAGGCTTTTTTCGTCTCTTAGCATGCCACTTAACTTTATTTTAGTTTTTTTGCTGAATAATTTTTTCATGTTTTAAGTTTTTAAACGAAAACAAGCTATGTGAAGAATTTAAAACAACAAAAACCTGTTATTTTCGTCTCAACGGGTTCGGCGGTCTCTTCTTCAGGCAACATAGACCGGGCGATTACTTCAAAACCCACTTTTTCTTCCATTTTGTACCAAACTTGATCAAATGTCCAACTTCAGTTTTGTGATGTTTTTGCTGAATGAACACGCCTCTCGGGAATGTTAAAAATAAATAAAATTCGTGGGGTGTTCGTGTTTACCTACACGCTCACCATCCATGTGATAGTGTTTATCTGTGATGTCACTTCCTATACATTTCTTTCTATTGGGGTCAGAAAACTATAACGACTTCTTTCTTTTTTAAATCGAGTTCACGTTCACCCCAAACAAGTCAGTAAAGCCGCTAAGACACAAGAATTAGAAAATATAGAGACATTACTTAAGGATTGAGAATAATAAGTGTCACAGGAAGACAGCAGATAGCAATTGACATTGCATTTAAATTTTTGAAGATTAAAAAAAGTTGCATGTAAAAAAAAATGCTTTAAAATCTATTGACTGACTGCTAAAAAAAAATAACCTTTTTTATCTTTTCCTTTTTTTAAAAACCATTTTTTTGTTCTTAATTTAGTTAAATTCCAGATTAAGCCCCGGAAACCAATTGTAATGAAAATTTCTGTTTTGGTGTAAATTTGCATGATTATTTTGAAAATAGCAATAAAAGTTGGCGGTTTATGGTACCAATATTCAGAGAACTTAAAACGATTAATTGGCTACTTATTTTAGTGTATCACGTTACTTATAATTATTCTCAAGTAACGCAAACAATAGTCAGTGAATTATTTAAACAAATTAGTGATTTTTATTACCAACTAAAAATCTTTTTACATTTTTGTTACCTTTTTTTATCAACCGAAGATAACTAATATATGTCCGTTTCTAAGTCACTTATTTAGCCGAATATTTCACTTTCAGAGTTGTCTTTCTCTTAGACTGGCTGCCACCCAAGGCCTCAGAGGCAGTCTATTCTGCTATTTAACCCATAGTTGTTGTGACCGAGAGTTTAGCCTACTGGCCTTGTTCAAACAGTTGATCACGTCGAATTATGAGCTCTTTTCCTGTAACTAAGGTCTGCTCAGCATATTTGAAATATAAACCACAGTTTGACTCTGGGGGGATTGAACAAACATATATGTGCCTGAGCAGACATCTGCAGCAGGGATTGGATAACTGTTCTAGCAGACCGGTGTGTTCGGAAACGAGTAGCTGGTCATTAATATATAGAGATGTCTTTTACATGCGTATGAATTTCCTTTGAAACACTTTAAGTGACTTGAATTTGTTATCTGTTATTTTGATAAAATTAGTAGATATGCTTGATGTAGTCAAAGTCAAGTAACCTTTGAACATTGTATTCTGTATATACTATTTTGCGTTTTGACCAATGAGCCGGTAACCAACTATAAAAATGTTATTTTTTATTACTGTTAAGTCTTTAGTGTAATAAATAAATGTCTAATCGTCTAGATTTTTTTTTTAGTATACGTTCTTTTCAGAGAATTGTATTTTTAAGAAAGCCAGACTATAAAAATTTTCTCCGTTGCAGTTAAGTTCCACAAAATCAAAGACAAAGGCAACTCAACGACAGTATGGAATCCAACGGGTTTAATGTACCAAAGTAAAAAGCTTTCAAATATAATTTATATTTGTGGACTTAACTTTTAGAAGAATGTCCAAGAAACAAGAAGGCTTCTGTATTCCATTAACGTCGGAAAAGATGGCTGCAATAAACGTGTAGTCACTATGGCTGAAAGAAATCTCAGAATCGAGTTTACCGCGTGACCCCAAGAAGGGATCCTAATTGGACAGTAGTTAGACAATGAGAGTCCCGGATTAGTAAGGATTTCTAGTACAAGGCTTATCTTTCAATGGTAAACATGTAGGAATCCTTCTACACGGTTTTTCGTTGATTGTTAACATTTTGGAGTGTCGGGATTCGATACAATAACAAAATATTGTTACTGGGTCGCTCGTAATTTGGCTGTCTAGAATAATCATACGATTTTCATTGAAGAAATAAAATTCAATAGAAAAGGCAACGTAGTTTCAACAAATAAACATTAATTTAATATAAAGACACGAATACAAGCAGTTGATGTTAGATTGGAAAGTAATGTCTTTTTGTTTGGGTTAATAAATTTCTGAAATAAAATATAAATTCTCTTTGTGTACGTATGTGTGAAAATGTTGTTATATGTGTGTTTGTATGAAAAAGTCAACACGTGTGTACGTGATTCATAGTAAAGAGGACACATGAGATAGTTAGAAATTGTTCTTACTATTGGTGGTGTTGCCGTAGTCTGAAGTTTGCCGACGCTGTCGCCTTTAGCATGGGGGTCGTGAAGATCATAAGAGAGTTGCGGGGAGTTTGCTGACAGCTGTGTGTATCCTGTTTAGGAACAGATTTCGTATGTTTTTATATACTTTTTCATAACAAAATCGGCTCCAGAATTAAATTATTTATTTATTCCTAATTTTGCCCTGAAAAGGGCACGTGGTATGTCTTCTACTACGTCCGCAAGATATTTGGGCGGTATCTTTGTTGTATTACAACAAACTTTCTGATTTGTATTCTATGATTTTATTGGTGTGTTTTAAGATGTAAGTGTTTTCTTGAGTGTGATTGGTTTATAAATATTGTATTTGATATTTTAGTGGACACGACAAAAGGTTATCTCCCTTTACTATCCCTTTCAAATTTTTATAAGGTGGTCAATGTAAAAAATTGTTATATATGTATAACTTTTTAGGCTCAGTGGTTAAAAACCGCCAAAACTGTTAAGAATCCATTTTAAATTTATGGAAAATTATTTTTTTCGTATATACTAACCAATAAAAGATGTGGTCTCAAGCGTGTAGAGGACTGTGGCGGTGGTGTTGAGTAGAAGTAGATGAGTACACGTGAGTTAAGATTTTCCTGCTAGCCGGTCCAACTACATGAGAAAGTTGGACTTTAATTAAGTCCAAAGAAGGCAAAGAAAAACAAACACAAGACCGATAAATATATGTAAACAAATATATGTATTAATAACAAGAAAGGTTACAAGTTACATGGACAGTTACATGGACAGAGTGCGTGTGGTGAATATGTGTTGTGGTGAGTGTTCGTATGTACGTGTGTTGTTCTTAGCGTGTTCCCAGCATTTGGGAAACGCTGTATCTGTGAGCGTTCACATCTGCGAGGTGGTATAAGGCCGAAGCCTGAGGAAAAAGAGTTACCTCAAGGTGGCGGCTCAAGGTGGCGGCCCAAGGGCCTGAGGGAAAAAGAGGAAGAGGGGAAGTATTTATAGCCAGGGAAGAGAGACCCCTGTTGAAAGGGTTGAGGAGCTAACTCCGACAAGCGCTAGTAAGAACCCGAATTGGGGCTTTGTGTGAGCGTCTTTTTTTCGAATAAAAGGACTCGGGTCGGTAGATAACTCCAGAAGACGTTGGACATCAAGAAGGAGACGTCATTGTTGACATCAAGAAAGCATCTAGGCGAGACAGGCGAGATGACACAGTGTTACAAGCCAGCTGCAGAGAGACGAAAAGAATTTTAGAAGTTCAAGTGAAAATTTATAAAAAAATTTTATTCCCTACCAAATCTAAGTTCTTGTGTCAAACACAGAAACTTAGTAGGAATAGCAAGTCATAATAGGCACAAAATTACAAATAAGACTCAAACACTGCGTACAATTTTAAAAGAAAAACACATCTATTACACAATTACGAAAATTGTACAAATACAAAGTTTGAACAAAAATTTCCTTTTGTGTGCTTGTTAGGGCAGGATAACAATTCCAGATTAAAAGATTACTGTCGAAAAATGGGAAAAAAAATTGCAGTTTGAGAAAAGACAAGAATTTTGAAAATGACAAAAAGAGAAAACAATACAAGAAACCCGAAAAAACAAAGGTGCAACCATCTTCGAGAAAAAACGAAAACACCTGCTTTTACTTACCCCAGGAGCGTCTCTGGTACATATAGTAATGTTAGAAAAGTAACTTTTAAATTCACGCAGTTCATATTTAGGAAAAATTATTTTTTGTCGATCCGCAGAAGAATTTTCACTTGAACTTCAAAATTCTTTAGTCTCTCTGCAGCTTCCTGGTAATTGGTGCTTTTTTGATGCTCTCTTTTTGAGGTCAAATGCTTTCTGCTCCTTGATGTTGATTTGCTTTGTCCCCTTGTCAAAAGGTCTCCATCCACTGACCTGCTGAAATCTTATTTATTCAGGAATTTAAACTCAAAGAAAACACTGTCCAAGTTTTCATAATGGGAGGAGACAACGGCTATAATTGGCTACAAAAAAAAAATCAATTTTCCATAAACTTGAAATGGATCCTTCACAAATTTGGCGGGTTTTAACCGCTGAGCCGAAAAAGATATACAATTGTAACAATTTTTTTTTTACACACGTCTGGCTTTTTTAAAAATACACTTCTCTCAACAAAAGAACGTGTATCAAAAGAAAAACAACCTAGACGATTAAACATTAAGCAAAAAAAAAAAAAAAATACAGGCGATAAGACACAGAGTTACAAGCGGGCTGCAGAGAAACAAAAAGAATTTTGAAGCTCAAGTGAAAATTCTCCTGCAGTTGGACAACCAAAATAGAATTCAAAGAAATTTCCCCAAGCACGAACAGTAGTATATAAAACTAAAAATGAAATTTCCAAAATTGTTGTCTCAGGGACGCTCGTGAGACAAGTAAGTGTTTTCGTTTTTGAATTTTTTTTTTTTTTTTTGCTTTTCTGCTTTCTTGTTTTCTCTTTTTGTCATTTTTGAATTTTTCTTTTTCTAAACTGTAATCCTTTTTCGCAATATATCTGTAAATGTTATCTCGCCTTAATTATTTATATGACGCATAAAAGGAATTTTTTGTCTAAGAGTCTTAAATGTAAAATTTTGTATTTTTTTCCTTTTCTGTATACTATTATAAATGTTTTTCCTTTAAAATTTTACGCACTGGTTGAGTTTTGATTGCGACTTATACAACTTTCTATTTCTACTAACTAGTTTTGTGTGTGTGTGTGTGTGTTTACCACAAGAATTTAGATTTGGTAGGAAGTTAAAAAAAAGTTTTATGCACGAGTCCTACTTTTCA